GCTGAAGAGCTGAGGGACAGCGCCCAGGCCCAGGGTTCAGGCCCCACAACTGACCATAAAAAATTAAAATGTGGGAGTGACAGGGCATCTCTAAGGATTCCTAGGAAGTATTACCTGGTCTTTTCCCCTCTTTTATTAATGAACTAGAGATAGTTATGAGACTAAAATATTTTGGTTAAGAATGAACATGGAATTTTAAATTGACCGACCTATCTTCAAATATTAGTCTGCTGTTTATTGTGTACCATGACTTTGTGCAATTCTCTTCCTCAGTTTCCTCATCTGCTATTTTTCCTAGAAGGACATCCCTGAGGCTCAAGAATTCACAACCAGGCTATGGTTTAGGGTCACCTCTAAGAAGTATTACTTGATAATGGCAGGTTGCTAAGCCTTCTGATTGTGTGCTGTCAGGATATTTAATAAGCCTTGCATAAATTCATTTACTTCATAGCCATTGAGCTCTCACTGAGGGACTAACATTATCATAAACATAGTCTGCAAATAGCAGCCATTGCTAGGCTGACAATACACTGGCAAAACGGGGATAACCTTATAAATCAAGGCACAGCTATGTACAAAAGAACTGGGCTGGAAAATGGGTGAGTACCTGAGCTCAAATAGGCTTCACAGAGTTAAGCATAAACTAGCCTGGCATGGGATGAGTGAGGAGGCCTAGAAGAACAGTTTGTAGCCAGGAAGACCCAAGTTTGAGTTCTGGTTGTGCCACATTGCTGCTGGGCAAGGCACTTAAATTCTGATCCTATATATCTTCATCAGTAAAGAGGTGATGATAGTACCTCTCTATAAGGTTCTTTCTAGAATGACAAAAGTAAGCGTATAGCACTTAAGCAGAGTTCTGGAGCAAAGTAAGCATTGAAAGCAAGCATTCCATAAGTATGTAATAATAATAGATAGTATGCACTTACCAGTAAAAGTAATCAGTCAGGTTACTTGACCAAACTTGCTTCATCTCTGAGGCCTCAATTTTCCCATCTGTAGGACATTTGGCTTTGTGACTTCTGAAGACCTTTCCAATTTAAGTACAGGTATTTGACAGCATTCCAAGCAGGGCTTTAGTAGACCAAACAGCCCACCAGAGGGCCAGTATATAGAAAGGTTTTCCTACCCGAGGGTCATTTCCTAGAAATACCTCCTGGGTTAGCTCTGTGTTTCCATGCTTACTACTCACTGTATTCTAAGATCCTAGATAGCTACCAAGGCCTTGCTAGTGGTCGGTTAATTGTATCTTTGCCTCATACCCTCCATATATCTTCTTGATTCTTCCACTCTAGGTCTATTTGTTTGACCTGACTTACAAGCAGCGGCCATACACCTTCCTCTTACCTAGGAAATGTCACTCCTCAGGGGGTAAGTTCTTCCTTAGGGCTTCTCTACTAAGGCGGGGCGTGGGGGTGGGGGGACCCACTCAGAACTTGCTAGCTCTGTAGAAAAAGAAGCCTGAATTTAAAAAAAAAAATTTTTTTTACTATAATACTCCAAAAGGAGCAAATCTCTGCAGTGATCCTCTCAGTAGTAAGAAGGAAGATAACAGTTGGTCTGCAGGATCCGTCCCTTACTTCTCCTTAGACAGGTTCTTCCCTCCCGGGGCTTGGCTCTGAAGAACCTGAAATACTTGTCCTTCCTTCTCCTCTGGGGCCTACTGTCAATATAGGCATTTCCTCACCCTTTATTCCCTCCCCTATCCCAGCTAAGGAAAACATCTACCTGAAGCTGTGTCCTCTTCAACCAGCAGAGGGCGCGCAGGCTTTTCTTTATACTATTGAATGCCCATCTGCCTGAGCTTGGTTTCTGGGACTTGAGATTTACCTGAGAGAATAGTACCACAGTCAGCCCAACGCTGGTGGCTCATGCCCATAATCCTAGCTACTCAGGAGGCTGAATCTGAGGATCATGGTTCAAAGCCAGCCCGGGCAGGAAAGTCTGTGAGACTCTTTATCTCCAATAAGAACCACTAGAAAACTGGAAGTGGCACTGTGGCTCAAGTGCTCACCTTGAGCTGAAGAGTGCAGGGACAGCACGCAAGCCCAGAGTTCAAGCCCCATGACCACCACCACCAACAACAAAAGAATAGTACCACAGTCAGACCCTGTGGTGAAAGCCAAAGAGCCAAAGAGCTATGAGGAAAAAATGAGGAACTCCCCCTGAGTTGTTGATTTCTCTTTGTCCCTGCCAGAAGTCCAGAATGGCAAGATGTCCACCAATGGTGTATCCAATGGCATGTCTAATGGCCTTCATCTTCACAGCAATGGCTTCCGGCTGCCTGAGAGTAGAGGACATGTCAGGTGAGGCCAGTTGACTTTTCCATGCCTTAGTTAACATTTTAAGAACTGGAGGGATGACCACGACCTGAAAACATTCTTCCTGATCTGTCTGTACACATCCCAGAGGGAGGAGGCTGTGGCAAAGTAACTTCTCAAAGAGTGACTAGTGCTCCTGAGTCCACTCTTGCCTGGTAGACCACCAGTCATGCGCAGTCTAAAGCTCCAGTCCCTGGGTTACCAGTAGCAAGGGTTAGGTCCCAGAGCCTAGCTGCCTCTTAGCATTGAGCTGCTCCCGCAGAACAGTTCTCCCAGCTAGTCCTTCCCTCATACATTATTCCTCATCCCATAGCATAGTCCTTCCTCTGCTCTCTGACAGACCCTCTACTGCACTTTGGATGCATAGGTGTTCAAATTTCTTAGCCCTTAAGAGTAACACAATTCTCCATAAAGAGACCACCATAAGGGTGGTCTCAAGGCTTAGCTCAGCATGGAGCCAGGGTTATCAGCTCTGGTCATGTGAACCCTAGCAAATGATTAAGAACCTCCTTAACCCTGCCCAGGACAGCCTCATTCCCTCCCCTCTTCTTCTCACCCATTCAGAGTGTCAGAACCTGTGCCAGCAAGGGTTCCAACCCAAGCTGGGGTCAGGACTGCCCCTTCTTCTAGATGACAGTGCAGATTACAGAGGCTGAGAGAGCCTGCACAGCCAGCCCTCAGGCAGAACAACTCTCATTGTTTGACTTCGCTGACTTGGCTCTGCTTCCCCCCACAGTCCCCAGGTAGAGCTGCCCCCATATCTGGAGCGTGTGAAGCAGCAAGCCAATGAGGCTTTTGCTTGCCAGCAGTGGACTCAGGCCATTCAGCTTTACAGCAAGGCTGTGCAGAAGGCCCCTCACAATGCTATGCTCTATGGAAACCGAGCTGCTGCCTATATGAAACGCAAGTGGTAAGTGGGCACTGCAGAGGAGACCTGGGCCAGAGCTCTCGGGATGAAGCAGCTGGACCACAAGGCATTGGGCCTGATGGAACCAAGTTGCCAAGGCATCCAGTGAAGGCGGCAGTTACTCCTGCCACTTCTCAGGGCTCCTTGAGCCTGGGACTCTCCTGTCCATCTCCAGGCTGAGGATAGGCAGATACTCCAAGCACCAAGGAAGCTCACAACAAAGTGGAACACATTAACAAGTAACTCAGACAACAGGCTTTGTTATATAAAGTGCTGAGGAAATAGGAGTTGAGAGAATAGTTGGAGAACTGGGCCTTGAAGGTACAGGTAGAATCTTGCTTTGGAAATGAGTTTGTATAAAATGATTCTGTCTAGTTCAATGGCCCTGGGATTTTCATTCTGTTCCCTTAGACTCATTGGACCAAGCACAAACAAGAACACAGAGGTCTGAGTCTGTCCATGAGTCCTCCTGGGGTGTAGTGACTGGTGGTAAAGGAGCAGCTCTATATCCTTAGGAGCCCTTCATCTTCAGAGACCATCAGGGCCCAGACCTTCTGCCTATAGCACCAGCAGGCAAGCAAGCAGGCAGACCCCCCTCCCCCAGCCAGGGCCAGGACTGGAGATGGATAGAGCTGGGCCCACAGCCATTTCTGCTCCGTCTGGCATCCGTCGGCCCTGCCCAGACAGACAGGCCAGCTGGTGTGCCATCGTCTGGCTGGAACTAGGCAGGCTTGGGAAGCTTAAGAATCCCACCCAAGTGAGCAGGCTGGTAGGTGGGGGATGGGGAAGATGCCACCCCCTACAGGCCTCAGCTTGGGCATCAGGAATTTGTTCAGTGTTCAGGTGGCACCCAGATCCAAGAGATGACTATTTGGGGGCCATCCTGAGGTGTGTCACCTCTGTCCCAACAGTTAGGTAGAACATGGTAGTCCTCATCCAGGCATTAAGCTGAGAGCCCTGCTTCATAGCTATATACTGGTAAGACAGGTGGCTGATTTCCCAATCCACGTGTGTCCTGAGCTTGTTCTCAGAGCTCCTACTATGTGCTGGATACTGGACAAACAAAGCTCTGTTACTCTATAACAGTCTCTCCCTCAGCACCCAGCCTCTGGACAGGACCCTGTCCCAGACAGTTCAGCATGAAAGAGGCAGGAAGTCTTGTGAGTGGTCAGGTAAAGTGCTACGGACATCAAGAAGAGTTGGGTCACTTTAGCTGGGGATCAGGGAAGCATCAGAAAGACACAGTGTGTGAATGGGCTTGAAGTGTGGGCAGGCTTAGACAAGGAGATGAAGGGGAGGAGGGGACCGTGGGGAAGGACATTCCAGGGAGATGAAATGGTGTGAACAAAGGCGTGGGGGCGGGGGACTGACTGAAGAGCTTGCTTCAGAACAGCAAATCTATTTGGCTGGAGCAGAGGATTCGGGAAAGGACTGGCAGGAGATGAGTCTGTGAGGTAGCCTGGGGCTGGCCTGGAAAGGGCTTGGAATGCAGAGCGGTGGCGTTTGGCCTTGATTCAGTGTGTGATGGGCAGCTACTGGAGGGTCTGAGCATGAGAGGGATGTGCAGAGTGCTGTCCTTTCAGGGAGATTGATCTGTCAGTCGTCTAGGATGGGTGAGCCCGGGGGGTGGGGGGGCAGCCTGCTTTCTACCCTCATCCCCACATGCCTGCCAGTGACCCCTAGAATGTCACATTCTGTCCCAGGCTGGTCTCCCCAGGGCTACCATCTGCTCCTAGAAGCAGCCCACCCTCTGGCTCCTGGCTGGTCTCAGGTCAGGTCTGGCTGTTTCTGAGAGCTCTGAGGGGCACCTTGCAGGCAGTAATTGGGTTTCCAAACAGTGCCTGCTCCTTCGTCATAGCCACTCATTCTGACGCAGACCACACCATCAAAACATCTCTGTTTCCTGCCTGCCCGCCCCCACACTGCTGAGACACTGGTCCCTGGTGCGAGCCTGGCTGTTGCTATGTGCTCCCTCTGAGTGCTGTGGGGAAAGAAGGGTCAGGATGAGGCTTCCCTTGTCAGACTTGCTTTCGTGTGCAGGAGGGTTATGATCTAGGGAGCTATGCTTACTGCTTAGCGAGGGTCCACTCTGGCCCAGCACGGGGAGGAAAAAAATAGTCTCCAACAAGGCAAGTGGCACGCGAAACCTATCTGCTGTCCAGATGAGAAGCGGCGATGGGTCTCCAGGGACCAGGCGCCTCCTGTATCATAGTACAGGTTGGAAAAGGGAGGGGCTTCTCATTTACCTCCTCCCAGTCACACACCCCACACACACAATAAAAAGCACTCCCACTTCCTTCCTTTCCTCCACACTTTAGGTTGGAGACATGAGTGGGGACAATTTGGAGCTCCTGGCGCGCACAGCCCCCTCGCCAGCAGCTTCCAGAAAGCTGACTCTGCCAAAGTGTCAGGGCCCATCCTCCAGCCCCAGGAGGTGGAGGCCACAGCTGCTGCGGATCAGTCAGCCAGGACAGGGGGGGGGTCTGGCTGAGGGTTTGCTGCCTGCTGGTCAGACCCTGAGCCCCCAGCCTGGCACTTCTGGCTTCCCCAGGCCCAGAACTGTCCTTGAGGGCCCCCTGCTTTGGACATTGCTTTGAAGGCCAGCAGGGGGATTTGAGGAGGTGGATGAAGAAAAAGAGAAGGAGGGCTTGGGGAGCCTGAGGTGGGCAGGATGCCAGGCCTTCTGCTGCAGAGCTGCGGGTGCCTGAGGTGAGCAGTGTACAGTTGCAGCCAGAGTCCAGCAGGGGGCAGCCTGACACCATTTATTGCTGCCTCGAGCCTTCAGGGCTCTTGGCTTTAGCGTGTTCTATCTCCTTGGGAGAGAAGCTTGGGCTGAGCTAGGCCTTGGTCCCCTTGTCCCCAGACCCTGAGGTCTGTTCGGGATAGAGTACAGGAAGTAGAATAGAAGTAGACCTCTTGCTGGCCATGTGGCTGCACTTGTAAGGTATATTCTCTTGCCTTCCCAGGGACGGGGACCACTACGACGCCCTGCGGGACTGCCTCAAGGCCATCTCCCTAAACCCCTGCCACCTGAAGGCACACTTCCGCCTGGCCCGCTGCCTCTTTGAGCTCAAGTACGTGGCTGAGGCCATGGAGTGCCTGGATGACTTCAAAGGAAAGTTCCCAGAACAGGCCCACAGCAGTGCTTGTGACGCATTGGGCCGAGATATCACAGCTGCCCTCTTCTCCAAGAATGACGGTGGTGAGTGGGCACTGAGGAGGAAGGGGTGGCTGTCACTCACCTATCTGAGAACCTTCTGGAGAGGATGAAGTTGTGGGATTGGAGAAGCTTGGCTTCAGAAGCTAATGCAGAAACCATTCACCTAAGACAATAGTCTCCCTGTCTCTGAGAAATGCTAGCTCTCCCACTGAGAGTTTGGATTGGTTATAGTATGTTGTTTTGTGCCAGTACTGCGGCTTGAACTCAGAGTCTCACATTGTCACTCAGCTTTCTTGCTCATGGCTGACACTCTGCTGTTGGAGCTCTACCTCCAATTTGGCTTTTTTGCGGGTTGATTGGAGATAGTGTTTCACAGACTTTTGTGCCCAGACAGACATCAGACCATGATCCTCTAGGTTCAAACTCAATCCTGAGATCTGTCTCCTGAGTAGCTAGGATTATAGGCATGAGCCATGACTACCCAGCCAGTTAGGGTATGTTTGAGGCACTTGGTATAGGAGTACAATGAGCCCAGGCTGCTGGGTCTTCCCTCCTGTTCCCAGACTGGCCTTGGAAGCTCACTCGACTGGGTTTTACCTTTGTTCCAGCCTGTACGAGTGCAACAGAAGTGGTAGTTCAAGGCAATAGAAATGCCTCAGCCTTCCCCTCAACTTTGGCACCACACAGTTCACTGCCTTACCTGCACAGAGGTCACAAGACTCTGCAGCTCTCCTCGCTAGCATTGGAGGGCAAGCTTGATTGTTGTGGGGTGGTCTATAAATGTGGAAGGAAGGTGAGCTCACTGGAGGCAGACCCCTTTCTTCCTTCCAATTTACTAGCCCTGGAGTCTTTCCTTTGTTTAGTTATCAGACACGTACCATGTGCCAGACACTGTGCTAGGTCCTAGAAATATAGCTGTGATTCTGTCAGATGAGATTTGTGTTTGTGGAGTTCACAACCTAATGACGTAAGCATGCACCGCAAGACAGGCAAAGAAAATGACAAGTGCTAGGGAGCCCCAAGTGGCATAAGGGCTTGATGCTGGTCTGGGCTTCTTCAGGAAGAGACCTGAGGGATACAGAGTTTACAAAGTGGCTATGGGAGGCAGAGAGTCCCTGGCTTGGGGACTTTTAAGGAATTAAAAAAAAACTAGCAGCCAAGCACTGGTGCCTCATGCCTGTAATCCTTCAAGCCTTATGACCAACCAAAAAAAAAAAGAAGAAAGAAAAAAGAAAACTAGTATACTTTACCTGTTAACTGATTGATGCTACTGTTGGGATCCTTAAAAACTTGGGTCTGTCAAGCCTTTATTTGGGGAACTAAACCAGGTTTCTCCTGTTATGAAAGGTTTCCTCTTAAACATTCTGAAAAGATAGCTGGATCCAGAGATCCATCTTCCCACAACCTTTTCCAGTTTTCCAGAGTAGGTAGAGCAGGCAGCCCTACATGGCCAGTACTTGGACTGAAAAACAGGGCCAAGAATGGAGGAAAATGGAGAAGGAGTGGCAAGACTCACTCCTTTCCTTGGTCTTTGCCCCCAGAGGACAAGAAGGGAGCTGGTGGTGGTGGTGGTGGTCCAGTCCGCCTCCGGAGCACAAGCCGCAAGGACTCCATCTCAGAAGATGAGATGGTGCTACGGGAACGGAGCTACGACTATCAGTTCCGCTACTGTGGTCACTGCAACACCACGACGGATATCAAGGAGGCGAATTTCTTTGGCAGGTCTGAGGCCCTAAATAGGAGGAGGGCATACCCACTTGGCAACAGGAGTAGGGGTGGGTGGGCTCCGGACATCTGCTTTCATAAGAAAAGTCTCACCTCCCCACACTACCGCTGTACCTTTGTTCATTTGGCCTCACTTTTAGCATCTCTGATATGAAACAAGCCATACCCACCCCGGGAGCCATCCCCTGATCTCAGGAGAAACTCCCAAGTACAGCATCCCCCACTTCTGACTGTCTGCATGGGCTAGAGCCTGGTGGTGTTTGTTTTTGTTTTTGTTGGAAGGAGGCAGTGGGGATTGAATTTCACACTTGCTTGATAATGTTTTTGCACTTTTGGGGGGGGGTTGTTTTTGTCCGTCGTGGGGCTTGAACTCAGGGCCTGGGCACTGTCCTGAGTCCTTTTGCTTAAGGCTAATACTCACTTTGAGCCACATGCCACTTTTGGTTTTCTGGTGGTTAATTGGAGATACTAAGAGTCTGACAGACTTTTCTGCCCAGGTTTGCTTTGAACTGCAATCCACAGATCTCAGCCTCCTGAGTAGCTAGAATTAGCCACCAGCACCTGGCCTAGTCTTTTCAGATAGGATTATACATTTTTGCCTGAACTAGTCTCAGATCTCAGTCCTCCTACTTCTGCTTCCTGAACAGCTTAGATTACAGACAAATACCACCATGCCTGGGCCCCTAGTGTTTAAAATGTTTGGAGCTTCTCTAATGGGAAATAACAAGTCAAGAGCCCCCAAAAGCTGAGATCTTGGCACAAGTGTTGTGTGCTTACAACTGTGCCCTAGGTACTGAGAAACAAAGCCTGTTTCTTATACACCATCACCTTAGCCTTCTTTTGTAGATGCTTAGACTTTCAGTAGATGAGACCTATGAATATGAGTATATAATCTATCTGTCAAGTTTAGGCGCTGGTGGCTCAGGCCTGTAATCCTGGGAACTCAGGAGGCTGAGATCTGAGGATCATGGTTCAAAGCCAGCCAGGGCAGGAAAGTCCGTGAGACTCTTATCTCCAATAAACCACTCAGAAAACCAGAAGTGGTACTGTGGCTCAATTGGTAGATTGCTAGCCTTGAGCTGAAGAGCTGAAGGATAGCACCCAGCGTTTAAGCCCTGTGACTGACCACCCCGCAAAAAAAATCTATCTGCCAAAACCCCCCTGCTGTAGATGTATTGTAGGATTTAGGGGTCTGGATGAAGAAGCCTTGGGTTGCTGAGGGAAGGGTTAGATGAGGGTGTTCTTAGAGACCTCAGAGAAACAGTATCTGATTCTGGCACTTTGAATGGTCCATCTTAGAGGGCTGCTGGCAGTAGCAAGCCCAGGATCGAAGGGAACAGTAACTAGAGTCTGCAGCATGGAAAGAGTTCCAGGTGCGTGGGAGTTTTGAGTCACAGACAGACCTTGAGTGTAGGAACCCAGTGACTCCAGACTTTCCTGTTCCCCACTGAGCCTCTACTTGGGGCTGCAGGGAAGTCCCCACCTGATCTCTCCCTGCCCTTTGCCCCCCTGCCAGCAATGCTCAGTACATCGTCAGTGGCTCTGACGATGGCTCCTTCTTCATCTGGGAAAAGGAGACCACCAACCTAGTCCGCGTGCTCCAGGGGGACGAGTCCATTGTCAACTGCCTGCAGCCACATCCCAGCTACTGCTTCCTGGCCACTAGTGGCATTGACCCTGTTGTGCGACTCTGGAACCCTCGACCAGAGGTAAGGGTACAGGCAAAGTGACCAAAGACAGACCTTGTGCAGGGTGAGGTCCCTGTGCAGAGCAGAGCGTCTGGCTGCCAGCAGAGAGGGGCTGAACTGAGAACTGAGCTACACAGGTTTGCAGCTGCTGAGATGACTAAGGCGGGGCCAAAGAGGGGACCTCAGGTTCTGCAACGTTCTGAATGCAGTAGGCGATTCCAGGAGCAATAGTTGGTATCTGCCTTCCTGAAGTGCCCATACCCTAAGAACAGGGGTACAGGGCAGACAAGCAGACTAGCAGTGGCCCTTCATGAGAGGGGCCCTTCTGCTCACATACCAGCGGGCCCTCAGACACAGGAAAGTGTGTGGGACCCTTACTGTCTGCCCCTGCTTTCCTCCTACCTGCACCCCTACTCACACCTGCAGGGTCCAGCCACCCCGGCACCTCCTCAGGGGTTGCTGTGAGGACTGAGAGGCCATGCCTCCACTGTCCAGCCTGGCGTGGTACCTCCATCTCAGTGTACCCACCAGAGGACTCCCCGGCCTCTCTGCCCCACCTCCTCCCCTTTCCTAGTGGACAAGTTGCTAATTTAACATGACTTAAAAAGAGGCCCCCCCCCTTGGAAGTAGCGCTGTGTGTGGCTAAAGTGGTAGAGCAGTAGTCTTGAGCTGAAGAGCTCAGGGACAGCACCCAGGCCCAGAGTTCAAGCCCCATAACCAACCAAAAAAAAAAAAAGGCCCCTCCAGGAACCTTCCTGGGGAGGAGAAGAAAATGAACACTAAGAAAGGACTGTTGAGAGTGCAGTGGAACAATAGATGGGGAAGCGCAGCGACAGCTTCCAGATAGACTGTCTCCCATCTAGACTGACTCTGTTCCCCAGCATGCATCCCAGGGTGTGCTCCATAGGCTCTACCTGGTACGCCCACCACACACACATAACCTGGTGTGGCCTTGGGCCACCCTCGCTCCCCACACCCCCACACCGCTCCGTGTACATCTCCCAGTGTGTGTGGGTCTGTCTTCTCCTGCCCTCCCTCCCCTTCCGTGCTCTAGTGTGTGCCCCGGGGGCCCTCCCACCCCAGTCCTCTTGAGCTGCCCTTTCCTCCGCCACAGAGTGAAGACCTCACAGGCCGAGTTGTGGAAGACATGGAAGGCGCCTCTCAAGCCAACCAGCGGCGCATGAACGCGGACCCACTGGAGGTGATGCTGCTCAACATGGGCTACCGGATCACAGGCCTGAGCAGCGGGGGCGCCGGGGCCTCTGACGATGAGGACAGCTCCGAGGGCCAAGTGCAGTGCCGGCCCAGCTAGATACGCCTAGCCCCTAGTCTCCAGCCCCAGCCACTGGCTGGGCCCTCCTCCCTGGGCAGGAGGTCAAGGGATTCTGTTTTGGTTTGTCTTCCACCCCCACCCCCATTTTTCATTTCCCCTGTTTTGTTTGTTAGTTTGGCATTGGGGGTGGGGGTTGCTGCAACTTGCTGGCTTTTACACTCTTGGGCTGAGTGTCCCTTGACTTTTCCCAGCCCTGAGCAGAAAGAAGAGGGGATGCCCCCTCCGTGTGCCCCCACCTCCTGCTTCCATGTCCCTGGACGGCTTGGCCTGCCTCAAAACCCTTTCTGTCTTGTGGGGGGCAAGGGCTGCCGCTGTCTTCAAGGACTGCCCTGCCCTTCAGTTGGCAGCCGGAAGGGAGTGGAGCTCCCAGCTAGGCCTGGCCTGTTGCCACTTGCTCTCCTGCCTGCAGGGCTAACTCTCCTCCCTCCTGTGGTCTTCAGGGAAGTCCCTCCACAGCCACCAGCGTCAGGGTGGCAGAAAGGGAGGGGGAAGCCCTGGAGTGGGCACGGCCAGCCACATGCCCTGGTGGCAGTGGAACTTCTCACTTCCCCTCCTGGGCATCAGCTCTGCTGCCCAGGCCTACTCATGCTGGCCACCTCTGGGGGCCCTGCCCTTTCTGAGGGACCTGGTGGGGGTCTGGGCACTGCATCCACGCAGCCACTTTGTGCACCGTGGCCACTCTCCTGGGGCGCTCCTTGGCCTCACTGTGACCTTTCTGCCAGAGCTCCCAGCCAGGCCGGCTCTGCCCTCTCTGCCCTCTTTCCCACCCCACATGCTGAGCCGCCACAAAGACCAAAGAAGTGATGGCTTTTCTAGGTCCCCCTGCTGCTCTGGGGAGAGGGGGTGGGAAAGTCTCCAGCTCAGCCCCCTCCCTCCTCAGCAGCCCCAAGCTTTACACTGGATGCAGCAGTGGTTACCCCACCAAGCCCCTCCTCCCTCTGCCCCCTTGGCTCCTGGCTCTGGAGCTACTTGGGTAGTTGGTTCGTCCTCCCTCCCTCCCTCCCCCTCCCCTCTGTGCTTCCTTGGCTCCAGCCCTCCAGCTGCAGCCTCTGGGGAGAAGCAGCCTCCCTTCCTCCCTCTCTCCCTCCCGCCCTCCCTCGCCCCTGTCTCTGCCAGGTGCCTCCTCTCAGTCAGGCTTCAGAGCAGCCCTGGAGACAGGAGGGCCATGTTAAAAGCTTTTTCACAGTTTTAAGAAGACAGGGTAGGGGGTGGGGGTGAAACTAGTGGTGGGGGGTCTGGCACCATCTCATTGCTTTAATCCCAGCGACACAGGTGGCAGCTTCTCCCCCTGCCTGCCCACCCCAGTCTCTCTTCCCACCCCTCTTCTAGCTTGGTAATGAAGTATATTTATTGGTGAAGGGAACAGCTGCTGCTGCTTCTCCCGCTGCTGGGACTCACTCCCCTGTCTCTTCTCCATGACCTTTCTCTAGCTGGGGAGTGGGGATAATGGGGCTAGGCCCTGGGACATAAGAACTGGCCAGGGCCCCTTGGTTTCCTGTGTTCCAGCCACCCACCATTTCTTCCCTTCCTGCCTCCTGCCTCCCACCTCCCACCCCTGCCTGCCCTGCCTGGGCCCTGCAGTGTGGAGAGACACATAAGCCTTACTGTCCTCCGGGGCAGGAGCCGAGCCTTTTTGTTGCTCTGCTCCCAGGAGAGTGAGGGTGACGCAATTGATTAAAACCATTTTGTTCTAGTTGTGGCCAGTGGCATTTGTGGGGTACAAATGGGTCTTGGGTCCCTCCCCTCCCTAGCTGTGCGACCTTGAGTGACCACACCTCCACCAGGCAGAATGAGGCCTGCCGTGCAGGATCACTGGGCAGTGGCCACTCAGCCCAGCAGGATAGAACACAAAGCCCAGCACTGGCAACTGTAATTCTGCAATAATCAGCTTTTAGTCACTGGCTTTCCCCCCTATAAAATAAGGGACTTGGAATCTTGATGGTTTTTCAGACTTTTTAAAAACTAGAACCCAAATAAGAATGGAGTTTCACAGTGTGATTCAAGATACAGATGCTAGCTTGTTAGAAGTGTGTGTGTGTGTGTGTGATAATGAAGAAAAGTTTTGCACCATTATACATGTAATGTATGCTCTACCTACTTTTCTATTAGGAGGAAAATTCTGGTTGTAGCCCGCTAAACTGATTTCGCAACCTGCAGTTTTTGTTTGTTTTTTGTTTTTTTTTTAATGGTCATAGGGCTTGAACTCAGTGTCTGGGGGCTATCTATGAGCTTTTCTACTCAAAGCTAGCACTCTACCACTTTGAGCCACAGGACCACTTCTGGTTTTCTGGTGGTTAATTGAAGATAAGAGTCCCACAGACTTTCCTGCCATTGGCTGACTTCAAACCATGATCCTCAGATCTCAGCCTCCTGAGTAGCTAGGATTACAGGCATGAGCCACTGGCACCAGCTAACAATCTGCAGTTTGTTTTTTTTTGTTTTGATTTGGTTTTGTTTGGGTCCAGTTGTGGGGCCTGAACTCTGGGCATGGGCGCTGTCCCTCAGCTCTTCAGCTCAAGGCTAGCGCTCTACCACTTGAGCCACAGCACCACTTCCGGCTTTTTTCTTATGTGGTGCTGAGGAATGGAACCCAAGGCCTCAGGCATGCAAGGCAAGCGCTCTACCACTGAGCCACCTTCCCAGCCCGACAATCTGCAGTTTTTTTATGTGTACTATATTACTAGCTCTTCTCTCAAACCAGAAGATTCCAAATGTGCTCAGTGCTGTTAGCATGCTAGTAAGTTTCTTGGAGCCCTAAAGCCAAAAGAAATAGCTAACAGCTCAATTAAGTAGTGATGCCCAAATCCCTAAATAAGTGCTTATGTCTTAACAAGTTGCCATTTAAAAATTAATACACATAATTGGAAGGTATATTCATTTTATTGTTAAATAACTGCAGTTAGATTTGTTCACCTGTTTGGCACTGCACAACTTGTCAAACTCTAATCGACATAGGGATTATTACCAAGACTTCCTGTTATGCACTGATTTGCATTTGCTTCTTGTCAGCAACTTAGCTTCTCAAAATGATGTCAAAGTGATGTAAGGCAGTCGTGTAATGAAGCTGCAAACTCCCGGGAGCCAGTAGTTTTCTTAGTAGTACTTCTCAATTTTAAATGCTGTACTTGGCCCCCTGAAATTGGCTGCAGCACCCTAAAGGCTTTTGATACAGCTTAAGAGCTGGTTCACTACTGCAGGAATAGTTTCCTGTTGAAACATTATGATTCTTAGGGAAGAAGTGGGCTGGGCCAGCTGGCTATGCTTGGTTTAGTCCAGAAGACAGACCAGAAATAAGTTCTGTTACAAACATAATAGGTAGAGTTAGGAAGTAGGTACATCAGGCTGGCATCATTCTTTGTTCCCAAACTGAAATCTGCAGTAGCTTCAAGATACTCCCAGACCATGCAAGGCAGGGACAATATTCCAGGTCATGGCAGCAGTGTAATACTGCTTCATGGGCCCTGAGTGATTCTCAGGATGGCCTGGAAGGATAATTAAGTTGGGGAAGAGTTCCTGTGCTGGATGAGAGATGGTAAGTTTGATCTTATAGGCAAAGAGGAGTCATTAGAAACCATCTGAGGTTGGAACAAGCATCAGTAGCTTGCACCTGTTATCCTAGCTATCCAGGAGGTTGAGATCTGAGGATTGCAGTTTGAAGTCATCCTGAGCAGGAAGGGCCATAAGATTCTTATCCCCAGTTAACCACCTAAAAACCAGAAGTAGACCTGTGGCTTAGAGAGGTAGCTTGCTAGCCTTGAGCCAAAAAGCTTAGGAGGCCCTGAATTAAAGCCCCATGACTGACAAGAAAAAATAAAACAGTATCACCAGGACTCTTACACTTGGAGTTGGCATTCCCTTTTTTATTTTATATTTTTTGCCATTATTAGTATTTAAACTCCATGCCTAGGCTTGATTGTATTACTTGGTTTGCTGGTACTCAATTCACTTGAGCCATGCCCCCAGTCCACTTTCTGTTCTGTGTGTCCTGGGGCTTGAACTCAAGACTAGGGCACTGTTCCCAAGCCTTTTTGTTCAAGTCTTGAGCCAAGGTTCTACTTCTAGCTTTCCAGTGGGTTAACTGGAGATAAGGATTTCATGCACTTTCCTGCCTGGGCTGGCCAGGCTGGCCAGGCTGGCTTCAAACCATGATCCTCATATCTCAGCTAGGATTACAGGCATGAGCCACCAGCACCTGGCTGGTACATTAGTTTAGCCATAAATGTTTTCCTGTATGTCTTATGTGATATACAGCTCAAACATGACACTCTGGATCTGAGACTTCTTATTACTTTGGACTACAGGTGTCTGTCTGTGATATGACTGTTCACTGTCATTTGAGGATTTTAAAATACCTTGTATCTATATAAATACATTTTTACTGTCTAGATTGCATAATGAAGTGTACCCACTCAAACCCTGGGCTTCGTCCCTTTCTGAGGAGGAATAATGGTCACCTGCACAGTGCAGTTCCGTTGTGGGTTTTTGTTTCATAGAGTAATGACTAAAAATCCACTGTGATTTCCCACTTGAAATCCAAACATAGTATGAAATGTAAGGCTGCTTTTCTAAATAACAGCTGAGGTAAGAGCAGAGGAAGTTCAGATTTAGGTGATATAATTAGTGTGGCACTTTCTTTGTGCCAGTCCTCGGGCTTGAACCCCAGTCCTGGGTGCTGGTCCTCAAGCATTTGTGCCCTACCACCTAAGCCACACACCTCTACTTCCAGATAAGAGTCTCGTGACTTTCCTTGTCAGGCTGGCTTGAAACCACAGCCCTTAGATCTCAGCTTCCTAAGTAGCTAGGATCACTGGTGTGAGATACTGGCACCCAGCTGATATACTTTTATGGAAATTATTTGGTAGTAGCTCAACAAATTATATAGAAGAATAAAGATTTATTTACTGGGGGCTGGGAAGGTGGCTCAGTGGTAGAGCGCTTGCCTTGCATGCATGAGGCCCTGGGTTTGATTCCTCAGCATCACATAAGCAAAAAGAAAAAAACCCGGAAGTGGCGCTCTGGCTCAAGTGGTAGAGCGCTAGCCTTGAGCTGAAGAGCTGAGGGACAGTGCCCAGGCCCAGAGTTCAGGCCCCCACGACCAGACCCCCCCAAAAAAAATTATTTACTGTAAGGCCACAGTGATCAAGATAGCCTGCTATTGGCGCTGGGAAGATGGCTCAGTGGTAGAGTGCTTGCCTCACATGCATGAGGCCCTAGATTTGGTTCCTCAGAACCACATAAACAGAAATAGCTGAGAGTGGCACTGTGGCTCAAGTGGTAGAGTGCTAGCCTTGAGCTGAAGAGCTCAGGGACAATGCCCAGACCCAGAATGCAAGCCCCATAACAACAACAATAGATTAACAATGGAATTAATAGAGAACTAAGAAATAGACCTATACAATATAGCCAACTGATATTTAACAAAGGAGTAAAGTTAATTCAATGGAGGAAGGATAATTTTTTATCATGTGCAGAAACAACTGGACATCTGTTAAAAAAATTAATAATGACCTTATATTACACATACATATATACACAACAGCCAGGTGCCGGTGGCTCACACCTGTAATCCTAGTTACTCAGGAGGCTGAGATCGGAGAATCACGGTTCAAAGCCAGCCCAGGCAGGAGAGGCCATGAGACATCTCTAATAAAATATTCAGAGTGGTTCTGTGGCTCAAGTAATTGAGCACTAGCCTTGAGCAAAAGAAGCTTACGAACAGCACCCAGGCCCAGAGTTGAAGCCCCAGGGGAAGAAATTTTTTCTTAAAGTATCATAGAAAAACCAAGCATGAGGATCAAAAGTGGTGGCTCATATCTGTCATTTCACTTTCTGGGGAGGCAGAGATTGGAAGGCTTGAGGTTTGAGGCCAACCCCAACAAAAAGTTACAGACCCCATTTCAATAAGCAGGTGTGGTAACTATGATCCCAGCCACTCGCTGGCTGAGGTAAAACCATCACAGTCTGGAGCAAAAATGGGATACGCAACTTGAAAAAGCCAAGAAGAGCTTGAGCATGGGTTCAAATGGTAGAGCACCTGACTCGTAGATGTGAGGCCCTGAATCCAGAGCCCCAAGAACACAAAGAGAAGCCATTTGTGGTGGTTCAAGTCTGTAATCTTTAGCAGCCTTGGCTACATAGCAAGATCTTGTCAAAAACAAACAACAAAAAAATGGAAAATAACACAAAAAAATCTAGGCAACCTTGGGTTTGTTTTTAGACACAGCACCATGAAACAAATCTATGAAACAAAAAAACATACACTCAAAAAAAAAAGATAAGTTGGACTTACTTAGATTAAAAAATTTTGGCTCAGCAAAAGGCTCTGTTAAGGTGTGAGCCACTGGCACCAGGCTGAAACTATTTTTAAAACATGCCTGGTAAAAGACTTGTATCTAAAATGTACAAAGAGCCAGGCGCTGGTAGCTCATGCCTGCAATTCTACCTACTCAGAATGCTGAGATCTGAGGATTGTGGTTCACAGCCAGCCTGGGCAGAAAAGTCCATGAGATTCTTTTTTTTTTTTTTTTTTTGGGGGGGGGTCCGGTCGTGGGGCCTAAACTCTGGGCCTGGGCGCTGTCCCTCAGCTCTTCAGCCCAAGGCTAGCACTCTACCACTTGAGCTACAGTGCCACTTCTGGCTTTTTTCTTTTTGCTTATGTGGTGCTGAGGAATGGAACCCAGGGCCTCAGGCATG